TTACGTCTTTTTTACTCCTATATTGGGTGTTACTCTACATATTGCTTGACGTAAAACCAATAGTGGATATGTTTCTGTCTTTTGTTGAATCTTGTTCACGGCTCGATAGAGAATTTGATAAGCCAATGATTTTTTTTCTGTTTTCATAATACGGTTAACCACCATGTTAACTAATCGATTACGAAAAAATGGATAGGATTTTGTAGTTCTTTTTTCTACAGTACCTCGATGTGACATGAGCGTGAAAGAGGTTCAATAATCCGTTTTCTTTTTATAAGGGCTAAAATCACTTTTTTTGGCTTTTGGACCCCATATTGTAGGGTGGATCTCGAAAGATAGGAAAGATCTCCCTCCAAGCCGTACATACGACTTTCATCGAATATGACTTTCCACAGAATTCTATAGGGATCTATGAGATGGAGTATGGAATTCTATTTACTCACTTTAAATTGAGTATCTGTTTCCCTCCTTTTCCCGCTAGGATTGGAAATCCTGTATTTTCCATATCCATATGATCGAGTCCTTAGGTTTCCAAAATAGTGTAATGGAAAAAGAAGTGCTTCAAATCATTGCTATTTGATTGGGACCTGTTCTAGAAAAGTCGAGGTATTTCGAATTGTTTATTGACACAGACAAATTAAGGGAAAACCTCTGAAAGAATTTCCATATTGACCTTGGACATATAAGAGTTCCGAATCGAATCTCTTTAGAAAGAGGATCTTTTGTCTCATGGTAGCCTACTCCAGTCCCCTTACGAAACTTTCGTTATTGGCTTAGCCATACACTTCACATGTTTCAAGCGATTCACATGGCATCATCAAATGATACAAGTCTTGGATAAGAATCTACAACGCACTAGAACGCCCTTGTTGACGATTCGTTACTGCGACAACATCTAGGGTTCCTCGAATAATGTGATATCTCACTCCGGATAAATCCTTGACCCTTCCTCCTCTTACTAATACTACAGAATATTCTTGTATATTATGGCCAATACCAGGTATATAAGCAGTGATTTCAAATCCAGAGGTTAATCATACTCTGGCAACTTTACGTAAGGCAGAGTTGGGTTTTTTGGGGTTGATAGTGGAAAAGTCGACATATAAGACACCCTTACTGTCCCTTTACAGAACCATACATGAGATTTTCACCTCATACGGCTCCTCGGTCAATTCTTTTGAAGGGATCCTTTTCCTCGTTTGAGAGTCTCCGCCCTTCTTGCACTCCGTCCCGAAGACTAACTAAGACCAATTGAGTCACGTTTTCATGTTCTAATTGAGCACTTTCCATTTATGATATGATTAAAGGAGAAGATTGTTCTTTTACCAAACATATGCAGATCAAATTATGTCTTATAATAAGAAGAAATCTTTCTCGGTATCAATCCCCTTGCCCCTCATTCTTTGAGAATTAGAAGGATCCTTTTCGAGTTTCCATTTCTTCATTTGGAATCTGGGCTCTTCTATATTTGACTTATTTTTTTGGCTTTATTCTTTATTTATTTCATTTCGATTTTCCCCTCTTCCTCTATCCCTATCCTACAGGTACAGCGTTTGCATCAATAGAGAACCTTTTCCCCTTATTCCATTCCAATTTCTTCTCGAAACTTCCCAAGAAAAATACCGAATTGGATCCAAAATTGATGGGTTAATGTGAGCTTATCCATGTGGTTAGGCACTCTTCAAATAGGAATCCATTTGGTGAGTCATCCGAGATCTTTTCGATGACCTATGTTGTGTTGAAGGGATATCTATATGATCCGATCGATTGCATAAGACACGGTAGCAATTGAACGGGGAAAGTATACAAAAAAGACAGTTCTTTTCAATTTCGGTTATCTATATAGTTCATTTCTATTTCTAGATATATATTTCTATATATTAGTATTAGTTAGTAGTACTATTTGTTACCGATCCCGACTCTATGAGTTCTTTCTTCAGTGATGAACTGTCGGCACGAGTCCTACATTTTTTTCTTTGTGGACCGAGGAGAAAGGGGGCTCGGTAGGAAGAGGATTGTACCATGAGAGAAGCATAGAGGTCAACCCGCTTCAAATATGGAACATGGATTCTGGCAATGCAACGGAGTTGGGTCCTCATATCAATCTGAATGAATCAGTCTTTCTACAGATGTCAATCTTTGCCTATTAGGCAAGAGGATAGCAAGTTCTAAATTCTGTCTTGGTAGGACATGGATTTCTATTACTATGAAATTCATAAATGAAAATGAAGTAGTTAATGGGAGGGCTACCGTTATCCTTTTTCTTGTATGTGTTCCTAAGAGAAGTAATTTGTCCTCATGTTTCGAGGTCTCAAGAAAAGGGCGTGGAAACAGATAGAAACTCTTGAATGGAAATTGGAAAGAAATGTAGCCCCAGTTCATTCAGAAATGGTAAGATCTTTGGTGCAAGAAGAAGGGGCTACCCATATCATCTTGACTTGGTTCTGCTTCCTCTCTTTTTTTAAGAATACCGAGTCGGGTTCTTCTCCTAACAGTATCA